TTTTAATCGATTAAAACGTAAACTTTTATGCCGGGGTTCATTCTTGTGTTGTAATTTAGCCTCTGACCACCAGTGGTGGAGCCAGACATTTTTTCTCAGGTGGCCAGACGGGGACCACAGGGGTGGCCAGGAAAATGACATTATTTTTTTTACTTTAAAGTCTCTGCAGATCTTTGTGTTTTTGTTATTTCTTTGTGTTCTAATACAGGAAGTGACTACCTTATAAACATGGGTGTCAGAACCATTTTAAAAGTGGGGGGACACACTGTTGGGGGGTCTGGGGGTCCTCCCCCAGAAAATTTTTAACGAAATAGATGCCATTTCCTGCGTTCTGGTGTATTTTACCAGGTTGTTTAACATAATTTTCCCTACATAAAAAAAACACTTGATTTAATAATTATTTCAGAGACCGGTTCCTCATTAAACTAGTTCCATTATCCTGTTTTAAACTTACTGCTTTAGCTGAGATAAGGTTAATTAATGTGACACAATTTATCATATCCAATGACTTTAGGGGTGCCTTTTACTTTTACATTGTTTATTGGTTTATTTTTAATTTTAACACACCATTGTTCCAAATCATGATGACCTTCAACTGCATGCTTAAAACTAATATTAATAACTTTACCCAACGAACAGGTGCGATATTGATAACCATCAACAGTGAATTTAAAGGGGCATTTCACTTTTTCTGATTTAGTGAAAGATCTACTCATTACCAAAATGGACAGAGCACCTTACGGCCTTCAGAACATAAAATGACACTGTGCTATGGTGACAAAAAAATAAAAAAACATTTGTCACCATAAGCCAGATTACACAGGCATTTGTTCTGTGTATAAATAAAACAATCACTTCTTTGAGCTTGGTGATGTTTCAAACTGTTAAACACTGCCACCAACTGTTCAGGAGGTTTATTACACCCCTAAAGGTTGTTTCACTGTGGAAGGGGTGTGYACAGCAGGGTGGCCAAAGATTTGTCTGTGGTGACCATGGCCACCCCTGGCCACCCCCTGGCTCCACCCCTGCTCACCACTAGTTGGCAGCAGTCAGCCAGCCAGTTGGCTTCTCCGCTCCTAAACAGCCAGATAGTTTAACACTAGCTCAAATATTAGCATTATATATACTCATATAAAACAGTTTTTATTTTATTTTTTATTTTTTGGAACATTTTGGAGAAAGGAGATAGGCACCAACTTCCTGTGACTCAGAAAAGCTCCAGGTTTAGAGAGCAGCACATCATAACAAAGATCCAGACCCTCCTTCTTGTTTCCTTTCAGAGCCTGCTGACAGGTCTGATGTACTACCGGCCCGATGACCCCATYGAATACCTGGAGGGCTGCCTGAAGAAAGTCCGGGAGCTCGGCGGGACGGACAAGGTGCGGTGGGACACCTTTGTGGGTCAGGAGAAGAAGACTCTGCCCCCACTCAATGGAGGCCAGTCYCGCAGATCCCTCTTCAGAAATGGTGAGGATGCAGTGAAACACAYCAGAGCTTAAATAAAACATCAGGTCAAAGATGTGTCGATCAACAAAAATACATTTCTATACAATTCTGCTTTGCCCATCACATCCTTCCTCCTGTGATCATGACAAAGCAGCAGCATCTCACAGGGGAAGGTGTTGACATTTGCAGCAAACCTTAAGGAGCCTCTCTGAACATCCACTGTTAAAGCTTTTTTGTTTCTCTTTGAAGTACCGGAAGGAAAAGACTTTTCGAGCATAATGAGAGAAGATGCTTTTTGCAGCTCTTGTGATACGTAGCCGAGTGCGTCACCGCTCTCGCTCCTGAAAACGTGTCTGAAGTGAGACACCTGAGCTTCCACAGAAAACTCAGGTTTTTATTTACAGAAATCCTGGTAAGAGTTAAAGGCCTGGCAGTTTTTGAAGGAATGCACATCGCCCGCCGCCTTTCAGAAATGGCAAAACGTCACATTCAGAAATGTGTTGCAAATAACTCTCAGCTCACATTTTAGCCCAGTTGTAAATTGAGTTAGAAACTTTGTGTTTGTTTTCTGATACACTCCAACTCAGAGAGACGGAAAAGCAGGTTTTTTACACCACATTTCTGTAACAAGACTATTCAGAATGCTGTACGTGATAAAAACATRAAAAGAATTATATATAGTGACAGCAATAAAGGAAAGGAAAAACAGACCACAGACTGAAACAAGAGAATTAGTATTTCCTGGAAAAAGGCAGTGTGAATGCTTAACGCTGAAAGGTTTTTGCTGAAAAATGCTGAAATCAAGATGAAAATGTTTAATAGCAATATTGTTGATGCAAGTTAAATTTGAACAGCTGGCTTTCATGGGAAGTAAGACAACAAAAGTGAAAAATCAATAGAAAGGTAGCAAAAAAAAAGAGTCAAAATTAAAAAAATTGAAAAATGTA